TTATTTATTTGTTCCTTTCTGCTCTGTTCAGATAGCACGTTGGTACGATATTCACAGAGTCACCAGTCTAAACTTAATCCAACCGCCTCATTTCTCAGATGAGGAAACTGAGGCCCAGGGAAAGAAGTGACTTTCCTAAGGCCACACAGGTCATAAGAATTAGAGGAAGGAAATGAGTCAAGTCCTCTTTACTCTGCAGTATCCTGCCTCCCGTATATCAAAGATTTATGTTTGCTTTTATTCCTAATTTTATGTTGACTGGGGATTTTATGGATAATAATCATATTTTTTTCACCTGGGTTTTGAGCAGGGAAAGCTAAGGTGTGTGGGACCACTTTCCATCCTGCAGAATGCTGGGAGATGGGGGCCCCATATGCACATACTCCTTCCCCTCCTCCCTGCCTCCTTCCACCCCCACAGCTCCAAGGACTCATTTTCCCTTGCTGAGTGGGACTGAGCCCTGGTGGGGTTCTCTTGGCAGCTCACACATTTTCTGTAGGTTAAGTCATGGAGAAAGCACAATCTGCTTGTTAGGAGTAATGAAAAATCCATTAGTGAGCTGAGGGTCTGGGCTGTTTTCCTCACCGACCTTCGTGAAGGAGCATTTGGCCATCGGGAGGTGAGAGCTATTGGCCAAGGGCCAATAAGCTGTCTGGCCTTTCAGATTGATGGGGAGCTGCCCCTTCCTCTTCTGAACCCACAAGGACTGAGCATCTTTTTTCCTGCAGCCCACTTTCCTCCTCTGCAGAGTACCCTCTCCCCTTGTTCTCTGCCTGAGTTCTTGCTGTCAATTGTGGGAAACACACTTTAATATTTTGGAACCAGTTTTCTATTGCTGAGGCTATAAAAACAAATGAGCCAACATTAATGTTGCAGAATGCTTTTCTAATGGCATGTTCTTGGATTAACCCAGGCAATAAACAAGTCTGTACCTTATTATAACAGCCACTGATGAGCAGGTGGAAAGGGAGGCTAGAGCAGAGGTTGGAGTATTTTTGTCTTGGAGGAGGTGGTGTTCCAGGGGAAGCTCTGGGCCCATGAGGATGGCTATCCCTTGTGGGAGCATAAGACATTACTGGGAGGGAAAGATTTCAGTGGGATCTGCAGCAGGACAACTAGAAGGGAACTAGCATCTGGCCAATGCTAGTCTTATGCTTATCCATCAATCAAAACATGTATTAAGGGTCCAGGCATGGCGCTAAGCTCCAGAGATAGAAAGACAAAAACTAATGGGTCCCTGTCCTCAGGGAGCTTGTATTCTATTGGGAAAAACAACACAGGATCCTAAGGAGGAACCTCAGAGGCTATCCAGTCCAATTCCCTAATTTTACAGAGAGGGAAACTGAGGCCAATGGATGTAAGCCAAGGTCACACATAGTAAACAGCAGTGGGATTTGAATCAAGGTTCTCTAATTCTAGAACACGCTCCTTCAATAGGTTGGACCTTGACTGTGAAGGGTTTTGAAGGACCAAATAAAGGGGTATACATTAGATACTAGAGATGTGTTGAATCCAGGAGTGACATGGTCAGACTTGTTCTTTAAGAATATCACTTTGACAGCTGTGAAGGACAGGTTGGAAAAAGACAGAATTGCAAACTATAAATGTCTACATGGGAAAATGCTCCAAAACATTAATAATAATAGATATGCAAATTAAAATATCTGATGCCCCACAATTTGGCAGAGATTTAAAAAAATGAAAGCGATCAATGTTGGAGGGGCTATGGGCAGACAGGCATACTGCTTATCAAATTTTCATATGCCCTAAAGTTGGAAGGGAAGAAAGGAAATAAGCATTCATTAAGTGCCTACTGTGTGCCAGGCACTATGCTGAATGCCTTATAAGTATTATCTCATTTGATCATTTGAAGGGATAGCTAACACATTGGATTATGTTGTATTCCTTGTGAGAATGTCTTTGTATTTGACGTGTTTGTCTAATTATTGTTCTTTTTTTTTAAGGCATTTGGGGTTAAGTGACTTGTCCAGGGTCACACAGCTAGTAAGTGTCAAGTGTTTGTTCTGAGACCAGATTTGAACTCAGGTCCTCCTGATTTCAGGGCTGGTGCTCTATCCATTGCACCACCTAGCTGCCCCCTAATTATTGTTCTTTGTCACATGGGAAGGATCAGTGGGAAGTGATGAATGAGCAATAATGCAAAGACAACAGACATCCATAAAATATCTTAATTTTTTTAAAGCACAGTTTTGGATTAGCTGATCTCTAAGATGCCCTTTTAGATCAACACTAAGTTGGAGAATGTCAGAGTTGGAGCCTCAGAGGTCATCTGCTCTGAATGGTACCTGAACACAAATCCCTTCTCCAACATACTTGACAGATGATCACCCAGCCTGGGCTAAAAATCCCTCAAGGATGGAGAAGCCATTGCCTCCCAAAGCAACTCATTACATTTATAGCAAGGAAGATCTTCCTTACATGAAGTCTAAATCTGCCTCTCTATAATTCCCACCTCCTAGTTCTTAGCCTATGGGCCAAGTAAGTCTGATCCCTCTTACATGTGGCAGTCCTTCACATACTTTGGAGACCGCTAGCATGTTGGCTTCCCTTCCCCCAGCACCAAATCTTCTCTTCTCCAGGCTAAACAATCCTTGTTTCTTCAATTAATCCTACTATGGCATGATCTCTAGTCTGATCATTATTCTGGTTGTCCTCATCCCTCCAACTTTTTAATGTGCTCGCTAAAATATCCATCCAGTCAATGCCTTAACCAACCATGATTCTAGAGGACCAAAGATGAAATATGCTACTGGCTTACTGCTGGAGAGATGAAGGACTGAAGATGTATGGTGAGGCATAAATCTTTCAACATGGACAATAGGGAAATTTGTTCTTAGCTGTGCATGTTTGTTATAGGCACTTTATTTTCCTTTTTAAAAAATTCATGCAGCATGATTGATATGGAAATATGTTTTACAAGACTTCACATGTATAATGGGTAGCATTGCTTGCCTTCTCAATAAGTGGGGAAGGGATTGGAGGGAGAGAGAATTGGGAGCTCAACATTTTTAAAAAGAATGAAAAAAAATTCTGTTGGAGGAAATGAGAGACTGAGACTATCGTTGCTCCGACACTTCAGTTGTGTCCAACTCTTTATGGGGTTTTCTTGGCAAAGATACTGGAGTGGTTTGACATGCCCTTCTCTAGCTCATTTTACAGATGAGGAAACTGAGGCGCACAGAATTGAGTGACTTGGCCATAGCTAGTATGTGTCTGACTCCAGATTTAAATTCAGGTCTTCCTAACTCCAGGTCTGGTGCACTACCCACAGCATCATCTAGCTTCAAATGAGACAAGTGATAATTATAAAAATAAAAGGATGACTTGGGAAAAAAAATTTAAATGTCCATCTAAAACTAGCACAGTATTCTAGAGGCAGTTAGACCACAGCAGAAGACTATAACTGCCTTCTTCATGGACATTGTGCTTCTCTTATAGTGCAGGTTAGAAGTCCATCAGTTTTCTTATCCATCGTATTATAATGTAGGCTTCTATTATATTGACTAAACTTCCATATCTTTGGGGGCAGCTAGGTGGCGCAGTGGATGGAGCACTGGCTCTGGATTCTGGAGGACGTGAGTTCAAATCTGGCCTCAGACACATAATACTTCATAAGCTGTGTGACCCTGGGCAAGTCACTTAACCCCATTGCCTAGCCAAAAAATAATAATAATACTACTAATAATAATAAACTTTCAGATCTTTCCTGTGATCCTATGATCCAAGCCCGTACCCAGATCTCAATGTGTCTCAATTTAAGATGCACCTGAATGAAATTATACAAGTTCTTATCCATACCCCCAGCTCTAGACCAAGGCATCTCAACTAAAGTCAATGTCTTCACCAGGAAGCATAGGAGGAGAGGTAATGGGGAAACAGGCTGGTGGAGGAGACCCTGGAAACAGAGGATCTGGATTCAGATTGTACTGTGTGTACTCACTTCCCATGTGACCATGGCCAAGCCCTTTGACCCCCAACGTCCTTGGTGTCTTCCACTGTGGTTCATAGATTAAGAGTTGGAAGGGTCCTTAGACATCATCTGGTTCAATTCACTTAAAAATTCTCCTAATTTCCTCAACCCAATTCAATCAGAGTTTATGCTGTGTGCACACTCAGAAGGATGGGAAAAAAATGAACAAAAGACCAAGACCGAGAAAAGAGTATGGTGTCCAGTTCTGAGTGCCACATTTTAGCAAGGGCAGCTAGGTGGCGCTGTGGATAAAGGTCTGGGCCTGGAGTCAGGAAAGATTTATCTTCATGAATTCAAATCTGGCCTCAGACCCTCCCTAGCTGTGTGACCCTGGGCAAGTACCTTAACCTTCAGTTCCCTCATCTGTAGAATGGGCTAGGAAGAAAATGGAAAACCACTCCAGTGTCTTTGCCAAGGAAACCCCAAATGGGGTCATGAAGAGTTGGACATGATTGAAATAACTGAACAACTGATAAGCTGGAGAGTGGCCAGAAGAGGGCAACCTAAATAATGAAGGACTTTGAGCTCATGCCACATGAGAAAATGAAACGTTTAGCCTGAAGGAGGAAAGATGTGAAGTATAGCAAGGAAGAGGGGCTTATTTGAAGGGTCATCATGGGAAAAAGACTTACTCTGCCTGGCCCCAGGGTCCAGAACTAGAAGTAATTTGGATGGAGGGTGAATGGAGTATTGCAAAGAAGCAAAATTAGGCCCAAAGTCAGGGGAAAAAAATTTCTGAAAAATAGAAACTGGAAAATTATCTGAAACTGAAATGAGCCACTTTAGGAGGTAGTGAGTTCCCCATTACTAGAGGTGGTCAAGCACAAGTTGAACTTCATTCATATTTGTAGGGTATGAAGTAGAAAGGATTCTGCTTCAGTTCCATGTCAGACTAGTTGGCCTTGGAGATCCCTTTCAAATCTTAGTATCTATAATTCTTCAGTGTCCTTTGGGTTGCTAAGTAAGAGTGAGATAACCTATATGTGTCCCTTTCTCTACCTCTGTCCAGGCAGCAGCTGAGGAAGGAAATGTCCTAGAGAAGGATCAGTGCCCAGAGAAGGCTCTTGGCTACTACACCTTGGCTGTCCTGGCCAGCAATGGGAACCCCAGTTACCTCCGGATGAGGGCATCGTGCCTGTCCCACCTTCAGGACTTCAGCCAGGCCCTCAGAGACTTGGACAAAGTGATCCAGAAGCACACAGCCAATGACCTCCAGACACAGGTGGAAGATTTTTGCTCCAGAGGCCGTTTGTTTTTGGGCCTCTTAGATGAGGCCAGTGCTGTGGAAGAGTTCATCCGAGCCTTCCAGCTCTCTCCATCCCTGGCCCTGCACAGTGTGTCTGCTCAGCCAGGACCCAAACCACTGGCCCAGATGTTTCACCTGGCGGGTCAGCACTGCTTGGAGGAACAGCGCTATGAGGATTCATGGAAGGTGGTCCAGTATGGCCTCCTTCTAGATGAAAATAGCAGTGATTTGAAGAAGCTTCGAGGGAGAATCAAGAGAGAGGTCTCATGGGGCTGCAGTATTCACTGACCTACAGCAAGAGGGGGGCCTTTAAAGGCAACTCAGCCACTCCCCCCCAAGAAGAATCCATCCTTCTTTGTTCAGGGTGAGCAAGGAGAGGTGGTCCTTTAACATGACACTTAATCATAGTGGTTATCCATTTTTTCTCTTCCTGACAGACTGTCAACTTCTTTGAGGAGGAAATTGAGATATCCAAAATTAGCCTAAATAATAATATTTACATGGCACATTAAGGCTTGTGATGCACTTTCCACATGTTATCTCATTTGATTATTGCAACAACCCTGTAAGACAGATGCTTTTAGATGAGGACAGTAGGCTGAGAAAGGTTAAATGATTTGCCCAAGGTTAATCACATGGCTGGTTAAGTGTCTGAGACAGGATTGAAATTCAGTTCATCCCAACTCCAAGACCAATACTCTATCCATTTCACCACCTAGCTAGAAAGACAAAATTTAGATAAGATAGAGCTGCTGCCCTCCTGGGGCTTATAGTCCCTTAAGGGTTAGTGCATGACACATAGTAGGTGCTTAATAAAAATATGTTCATTGACTGATTAACGGATACACATACTTGTTATAAGGTTGTTTCCCACACCCAGTGGGGGATGAAAGGTGGGAGGGAGAAAAATAAGACGTTTTAAAATTTTAAATAAATACATATTAAGGGCACATAATAACTTGTAGTTGGCCTTAAGACCTAAAGTTAAAGGTGCTATTGGTAAGGGAAGAGAGAGAGTTTCCATAGGAACAGGAGATACTAGGACTCCTCAGAGGCACAGCCTAGTCCAAAATCCCAGATTGCTGCTGGAGTCATCAGTGTCTCTTGGTGTCACCTTAAACTCAGGTACCGAAGAGCAAGAGCCCAAGGGGAACTTCTCGTGTATGTAATTTTGCTCTTTCAAGGTTGACTAGGTTTCAACTGGACTTAAGGACTACAAGTGGTCACAGGAGATAAAAGGGCATCTTCACAAGCAGGATCTCACCAAGCATGAAATTGTCTTTGGTCACAGGAGTCAGGGATATGCCTAAAGTCCAGCTTCCTATGAAATCTGGATCTGTCTGTGTGGAGAACTTCCAAACCAGTTAGTATCTACTTACTACTTACTATCAGTTCTAGTTTAACATGGACTCCATTTATGCCTTGCTACAGTTTATAACCTCTTGGGTTATTTTACTTCTCTGCTGAGGAACCCAATCTCTGCTGCCTGCGGTCACCAGCCTATCTGCCTTTGTTCAAAATATAATTTAAAATATGTAATTAAGAGAAGCAATGACAAAAGCCAGTGTGAATTACTCCAGTGATCCGGGAGATTTGTGATCTCATCTAAAGGGGAGCTCCCTCCAGTGGTGAGTATCTCAACTCATCTGAGCCACCCTGCTCCAATTTTATCAAAGTCATCCCCTAAGTAGACCACAGGAAGTCCTCCCAACATGCTAGGGGCCCTCTTGACATGATGTAATTACCTATGGAACAAGCAGGCAAATAGCAAATTAGTTATCCTTCCATCTTGCTATGTGACTAACGCATCTTTTATTCCTAAATCATACATTAGTGGAATTCTTTAGCATTGCATTTCAATCTCATTTGTCAAGCTTTTTAATGTTGGCTTCTTAGCTTGAAATATACATAGTAGCTTGACCTAGCCTGAGGAAGCATTGCCCATCACAAATCCCTAGAGGACCTGCTTTAATGAATAGAGAATGGCATGAACTTACTATGTCCACTGTTGGAATGTAAACACTAAACTGCAAAGAACTTATAAAAACAGGTGATTCCCACACACCTCCAAAGTAGTTTAAACATTTCTCCTGCGAGTAATCTTATTGAAATATTTTCTTAGAAAATATTTGCAGTTAAAACAAAAGGAAGCCCAACTCCATGTCCTACTTGAGTAATTTCAGATTAGAAAGATCAGAATTAAAGGAGATAAATTTCAAAACTCACACTTGTTGAGCTAGCAAAACACCTATCCTCATGACAAATATCTGAGGTAGGTAGGGAAAATATTATTAATCCCATTTTAAAGGAGGAAACTGAGACTTTGAGAGCTGCCATGTCCATGAGTCAAGTGGAATTTGAATTCAAATTTTCCTAAGTCCTAGTCTATCCACTACCTCACACATACCTTCATCAGCACAGGTGGACTGCACAATCCAATTTAAACATGAGGACTCTCCTCCATGAACTAGAGAGATTTTGAGTCAGAAAACAGCATGTTCATTTCAGCTCTGTTACTTACTACTGTATGACCCTGACTAAGTCTTTTAATCTTCCTAGGTCTTGGTTTTCTCAACTATAAAATCAAGATATTAAACCAAATGATCTCTGAGGTGTCTTCCAGCTCAATGATCATACAAGCAGCCCTTCATTGGCTCTGCCAGTCTCAGAATAGATTCCATGGCAAATCCCACCACAGTTGACCTATGATCAGCACTTGAAACTATTTTCTTCCATCATTAGAATGCAATGAGAACCAGCTCCTAATGGTGGGAGTTGTCCAAATGTGGAACAGACTGCCCCCTCCCTTCTCCCTAGAATGGTAAAGCAGAAGATGGATGACCTCTTATCAAGGATGTGGTAGAGATTCTTGTATAGATGTGGGTTGTACCAGAAACCTCTTGTAACTCTGAGATGCTGTGCCCATCCTCCTCTTTCAAGGTTCCTTAAAGATTCAAAAAGCACCTGGTTGCCTATTCACGATCCATATTTTAACCAAAATTCATGTTTGGTCTTTATCATTTCTGCTCCATCATTGAATTTAATAGCTTAAAGGAACCTCATGGTCAACTAGTTCAAACTATATCTGAGCAAGACACCTCCTCTACAGCAGGAGTTCTTCACCTGGGGACCATGGACTCCCCAAAAGGTCTGGTTTTAGGTGCTCTGTGAACTTAAATGGAAAAAAATGCATCTTTATTTTCATGAACCTTTAACTGAAATTATCCTTAAATTATTTAAAAACATGATTCTGAGAAGGAGGTCCATAAGCTTCTCCAAACTGCCAAAGGGGTATCTGATGCAAAAATGAATTCTTTATTTGCAATATCCCCAATAAATGACCATCCAGCCTTTGTCTGAGCATCTCAAGGGAGGGGGAGCTCACTCCCTCTCTCTCAAGGCAGTCCATCCCACTTTGGGTCAGCTTGCATGGTTATATTTTCTTCTATATCAAGCCTAAATTTTCCTCCCCCAACTGTTCTCCAAGGTATGAAAATGCCTGACAAAATCCCTGGTTTGCAGGAAAGAAGAGGTGGTGTGATTAGATTGCAAAACTCCATTACAAACTCATAACAAAATTTTAGGGTGAAAATGACTGCATGTAGTTTTTCATTTCATTTCCTCCCTTCCCAGACAGCCTGGATCCCTGCACTGTTTAGTATGGAGAAGAGGCGTCTCTGGTGGGAGGCATGAGAGCTGCCTTCAAATATCTGATATGCTGTCAAGGAGAAAAGGGAATAAATGTCTTTAGGTGGCCCCAAGGATAGAACCGAGACCAGCAAGGTGTATGGAGGAGGTTGGGAAGGTTCATAAAGAGACAGGTTTGGGCTCAATAAGGAGAAGAGCTTTCTCATAATTATCACCATCTAAAATTGGGATGGATTATTTCCCTTTAGATAGAAAAAAAAGATTTGGATAGCACCTGGTAGGCAGCTTTTTTTTTAAGTTGTTGCTTCTTTTTACTATATTTATTATTTTATTAGCCTAGGGATCTCCTACTAAGGGAATTCCCTCTACCACTACAAGTTGGCTCCTTCTGGGCAACTTAATGTCTTACAGTTCTCTGAAACGCTAATAGATTAAGCGGATTGCCTAGGATCACATAGGCAGTATTTATAATAGGCGAGATTTGAACCTGACTCTAAAATTAGCCTTCTCTCCACTACTTCAAGGTTGTCTTTCTCTATATGGTGATTTAAAGTTTGCCAATGGCTGTACATGCATCAACACATCTCATTTGTTCTTCTACAATGACACTGAGGTCTGTGCTATTATTTAGATCCATTTTACAGATGAGGAAACTGAAGCTGAGAGGAAGTAAGTTCCCTGTCACTAGCTCTATTCAAACAGAATCTGAAAGAACCCCAACAGGAATAATGCTGAAGGCCTTCCTGCAAGCTGACTGCTGAGATCCCTCTCTAACACCAAAATCTTTTATGCAGTTAACTAAAAGCCTAGGACTGCCCTACTTCCCTTCTGCTAGGACATTAAGACAGAAGATCATAGATCTACAGCTGAACAGGATCTCAGAGGTCATCTACTCCACCTCCATTTTGAAAGGAAACTAAAAAGTGAAATGATTTGCCTAAGGTTATATAAGTCACAAGAATAAGAGGCAACATTTGAACCCAGCTCTCTCTGGCTCCTAAACCCACGCTCATTCTTCAGTGCCACATTTTCTTCGCGGTGGAATACCCTCTATTGATGAAAGATGTCTCAGTATGGCTTATCATTCACTTAACTGCCAGACGGGGGCAGACTTCAGGAGACGTGAGTTTGGGAGATAGGCAGGGAATATAAAAACAGAAGGAAAAGCCCCAATGAAGTGAAGTCAGCATATGGGGACAAGCTAAATAAAGACATTCCAGAGCTTTGCCCTGAGTCAACTAGTGACCCTGAACCTCAGGCCACTGCCATGTTACCCAGAACCTCTAGGACCCATCCCTGGGGGGCTTGAAGTGGGACTAGTTATAACAGGATTTGCTCTTTTCTTTTGACATCTCCGCTGTTCGTGACATTTCAGTTTAACAGGCCAGGGCTGGCCCTGTTTATCCTCCTGACATCCTCTAGACACTCTTTGGAGGTGAGAGCCTTTCAGTTCACTAGCCCAGACCTCAGAGGTGTCTGCCTCTAACTCAATCCCTTCCACTGGAAGAATCCAATATCCAAGTCTGGGGTTGGAGCATGATAGAAAGGCATAGCTCCAGGTGAGTGATGGATTAAATAACCTAGGTTAGATAGTCTAGTAGACCTCACCTCCCCTGCTCCCTGAAAGCCAGCCTTCCTTCTCCTGGCAATAACCAGGCCAAGCAACCCAGAGCAATGACTGAAGATGCCTCTGGGGCCCAGGCAAATGTCAGAATTGCCAATTTCTTCAGTGGACACCAAGGCTGACCATCTTAAAGTATTTGAAGGGCTGCCACACTGAGGAAAAGGCAACCAAGGTGTTCTACTTGACCCCAGAGCAATGGGGAAGATAAATTTAGGTTTGCTATAAGGAAGAGCTTCTAAATAATTAGAGCTATGCAAAGGTGAATGGGCTGCCTTAGGGGATAATTGCAGGTTCTACCTCAGCAGAGGTCTTCAGACAAAGGCTGAGAGACCACTTCTTGGGTGTGTGGTTGAGGACAGCCGGGTTACACAGTGGATAAAGCAACAAACCTAGAATCAGGTAAGACCTGAGTTCAAATCATCACCACCACCAGATTGGCTGCGTGACTCTGGGCAAGTCACTGAATCTCTCAGACTCAGTTCCTTCATCTGTAAAATGGGAACACTAATAGCACTTACACACATACACACACACAAAGAGTTATTATGAAAATCCAATGAGATAATGCATATTAAACCTTTGAAACCTTTTTACATACCGTGTAAGTGTTGCTTGTTATTATTATTAGGGGGGATTCCTGTTAAAGTATAGGGTGGATCAACTGACGTTAAGTAAGGCAAGAAAAGTCAGAGACAAGTCTCTTCTCTCACTGGAGATCCCTTGTCAATTTTAGCAGTCACAATTGGCTTTTTATTTTCCTAGAACATCTCATTCCATGAGAACTTTGGACTCAGTAGCCCAGTTAGAGCTCAAAGTTGGAAGTGACTGTTTTTTAACTTGACCTGGTGTTCCCCAGGACTGGGTTGGTTCAACCAGATTCTGCCAAAGGAAAGAGAGTGGGAGATGGGGAGATAGGACAAGATCATTTTTATATTTGAAGAGAAGAAACAGTAGAACATGGAATAATGGAAATGTAGAATGCTAGGTCTCAACACCAACCTTAAATATAGCTTCTCCTCTGCAACACTTGGAGAAGCGGTCATCTAACTTCTGCCTAAATATTCTTTTATTTTTTTTGGGGGGGGGGAGCTAGGCAATGGAGTTAAGTGACTTGCCCAGGGTCACAACTAGTGTCAAGTGTCTGAGGCTGGATTTGAACTCAAGTCCTCCTGACCCCAGAGCTGCTGCTCTATCCACTGCACCACCTAGCTGCCCCTTGCCTGAATATTCTTAGAGGATAACAAGTGACAAGGAGGGGAGACTGAGAGAGTGGAACTGAGAAAAAGAAAAGGAGAAAGAGGGAGGGAAAGGAGGGAGAGTAGTAGGGAGGAAATAAAAGAAGGGAGGGGAAGGAAATAGAGGAGAAGGGAGAGAGTGAGGGAAGGGAAGGGAAGGGGAAGGCAAAAGGGGAAGACAGAGAGAGAGGAGAGGAGAGGAGAGGAGGAGAGAAGAAGAAGAAGAAGAAGAAGAAGAAGAAGAAGAAGAAGAAGAAGAAGAAGAAGAAGAAGAAGAGAAGAAGAAGAAGAAGAAGAGAAGAGAGAGAGAGAGAGAGAGAGAGAGAGAGAGAGAGAGAGAGAGAGAGAGTTTCTAAGCAGCCTCTTTGGTTTATAGTAAAACCTTTCCAAGGGAAGGCTTTGCTTGAGAGCCCTGAACAGCTAATATCTATTTGCTTTTCCTCCCCAACCAAGCTGTCAACACATCCAGAAGCCTCCAGCAGAGCCTCAGGCACCAACTCACCTCCCCTGGTGGAGAGAGAGAAGGAACAGTCTTGCCTATTTTGAGCTGAATTTTCTTTTCCTTTCTTGGGGGGAGGGGTGACCTAGAATTCATAGGCTCATAGATCCAAAACTGCAAGGGACCTCAGATGCCTTCTATTCCAACTTCCTCATTTTCCAGAGGAGGAAAACTGCCCCACAGAAGCAAGTGACTTGCCCAAGGCCACATATATACAGTGTCAGAGGGTAGGATTTGAACCCAGATCCTTTGATGCCCAAACTGGAAGATTATCCACTGTGCCATTTAGGGAGTAGCAGTTTGCAGATGAGGAGAAACCTCTGGCCTTGGAGTCAGGAGGACAAGTTCAGCTCTAGCGTCTGGCACTTATTAGCTTCATGACCCTGGACAAGTCATTTTCTGTCTCTGAGCCTCCGTTTCTTATATGGAAAATGGGGATAATGTTTGTACAGCAAGGGTTCTTAACTTTTTCTCCATCTTATATCCCTCTGGCAGTCTGGGAAAGCCTATGGATTCCTTCCAAAGAAAAATGTTTTTAAATGCATAAAATAAGAGAGGAGAGGAGAGAAGGGAGAAGAGAAAATGCGGAAAGAAAGAGGAAGAGAGAGGAGAGAAGACGCATTATCAGTATCTTCAAATGTCTGAAGGGCTGCCATGGAGAATAGGATTTAGCCCTGCTTAGCCCTAAAGGTAAAACTGGGACCAATGAGAGAAAGTTTCCAAGAGGAAGATTTCAGCTCAGTATAAGGAAGAGATGTCTAGCAGTCAACAACATCCACCCAACAGAACAGGCTTCCTTCTGAGGTGATGAGCTCCCAGTCCCTGATGGCATTCCAGACCAGGTTGAGTGACACACCCTTCCTCTTCCCCAATCAGGGAGGTCCACAAAGGATAGAAGGTAGGACTAGCTGTCTTCTGAGGTCTCCCCCAGCTCCAAGATTACATGGTTCCTAGACCAAAAATTCAGACTAGTACCAATTCAGGAGTTGAGGGAATCCATTTGCCACTAGCTAATAATGGTCGTGGTGATGATGATGATGATAATTTCATTTGTAAAGTGCTTTAAGGTTTGCAGATCACTTTACAAATATTTCATTTGATCCTCACAATAACCCCAAGAGGGAAGTGTTAATATCATCCCCAGTTTAGAGATAAGGAAACAGAGGCAGGCAGAGGTTAAGTGACATATCTGGAATCACACTGTTAATAAGTGCTTGAAGCAAGATCTGAATTCAGATG